TAATCGTTTTATTAGGGGCTCATACGACTCTTATCACCATCCATCCATCCATCAATTGTGTAAAGCCCATTTGCACATGCATTGCCCTCATCATTCTCAAAACATTTCCTCTCCACTGAAGCTCCCAGCATCAGCTCCTTATTTTTCCCCTCCCTTCCTGCTACCCCCCCCTCCATGAGCCCTTGATAATTTATAAATTATTATTTTGTCATATCTTGCCCTGTCCGACGTCTCTTCACCCACTTTTCTGTTGTCTGTCCCTCAGAGAGGAGGTCACATGTAGATCCTTGTAATCGGTTCCCTCTTTCCAACCCACTTTCCCTCTACCCTCCCAGTTATCGCCACTCACCCCTCTGGTCCTGAAGGGATCATCCGCCCTGGATTCCCTGTGTTTCCAGTTCCTATCTGTACCAGTGTACATCATCTGGCCTAGCCAGACTTGCAAGGTAGAATTAGGATCATGATAGTGGGGGGTGGGGGAGCTGGGAGGAAGCATTTAAGAACTAGAGGAAAGTTGTATTTTTCATCGTTGCTACATGGCACCCTGACTGGCTCGATCTTCAAAGATACTCTTGTGCAGCTTCAGTCTAACTTTTGAGTTAGTCACCCAGCACCTAACTATTTGCCCCACCCAGGAACTGCTTCTCTGATAAGATCTCCTAAACAGACACCTCGCAGAGCATTATGACTCCACCTTGAATATTATTTGTATGCATAAATTAGAGGGAACACATTTTGTCCAAATTGAGTCGTTTTCCAAAATATTTTTGACCAAAAAAACCACATCAGAATAATAACCTGCATTAACTTACTTTACTCACTTTAAGAATTATTGTCTAATAAATGTAGGTCGCTGTTGTTGGCAAAAAACAGCCCTAGTGGTGTCGTGGCTGCTAATTGTGAGGTCAGCAGTTCAAAACCACTAGCTGCTCAGATTGGAGGAACCTATTACAAGGATCTACATATAACCTCCTCCCTGGGGGACGGACCACAGAAAAGTGGGTGAAGGGAGACGTCGGACAGTGCAAGATATGACAAAATAATAATTTATAAATTATCAAGGGTTCATGAGGGAGGGGGTAAAATGAGGAGCTGATGCTGGGGGCTTAAGTGGAGAGCAAATGTTTTGAGAATGATGAGGGCAGTGAATGTACAAATGTGCTTTACATAATTGATGTATGTATGGATTGTGATAAGAGCTGTATGAGCCCCTAATAAAATGGTTGAAAGAAAAACTACAGCCATGATCTCAGAAACCCACAGGGGCAGTTGGTTCAATCCTGTCCTACAAGGTCACCATGAGTCAGAAGCAACTTGATAGCAGTGAGTTTGGTCTTTGCTTTATTGTTGGCAAAAGAGATACCAATGTTTTAGCAAACATTTACCCTAGATGGTTTCCCAAGCTGTACATCTTTTAGGGAACTCATAGTATTAACTTTCTCCTAAATGGGGGCTGGGTTTGAAATGCCAACCTTGTGGTTAGCAACTCAGACTGACTAGATGGCACCATCAGGGCTCCTTGAGGTCCTAACAGTATATAGTATGCCTTATTGGAAGTTCTTGGCCACTAACCTGATGAAACAGTTTGCTATTTGAACCATAATTTGTATAAGACATTGATTTTTAAAAATATATATAAAGATTAAAACTCATATAATTTTAAATTCTTGTATTTTTTCTTTGGTATTCCTGTTACAAAACATCTACAATATGTATTACAGACTCGGTTGGGTTATCAACTTTAAATATTTGAAAGCTAAAATCAAGGCAAAATACATACACATTTATGTGTTATGAAAACTGTTCAAATTAATCACAAAATTATCAGAAATGTGGGTGAAGGGAGACAACGGACAGTGTAAGAAAGGATATAACAGCAATAATATATAATTGACCAAGGATTCACTAGGATGGGAGGGGAGGAAGGGAGGGGGAAAAAAAGAAGAGCTGATGATACCAAGGGCTCAAGCAGAAAGAAAATGTTTTGGAAATGTTGATGGCAACATATGTACAAGTGTGCCTAATATAATTGAATCACAGAGTGTCATAAGATTTGTAAGAGCCCACAAATAATATGATTAATTAAAAAAAACACCACGTGACAGTGGCGATACCAGGAGGGAAAGGGAGTGTAGAAAGGGGGAATTGATCACAGGGAGCTACATATAACCTCCTCTCTGGGGGACGGGCAGCAGAGGGGTGGGTGAAGGGAGACGCCGGACAGTGTAATATAAGATACAATAATAATTTATAAATTATCAAGGGTGCATGGGGGAGAGGGGAGGAGGAAGGGATGGGGAGGGGGGAAAAGGAAAATGAGCTGATTCCGGGAACCCAAGAGGAAAGCGAATTTTGGGAATAATGAGGGCAACAAATGTATAGATGTGCTTTACACAATTGATCTATGTATTGTGATGAATTGTATGAGCCCCAATAAATTGATTTAAAAACAAAACAAAACACCATGATAGTGGGACAAGAGGAAAGTAAAAGGAAATAGAGGAAAGAACTAGGAGGCAAAGGACATTTACAGAGGTCTAAATACAGGCGTGTACATATGTAAATATATTTATATATAACGATAGGGAAATAGAACTGTGTACATATATTTATATGTTAAGTATTAAGGTAGCAGACGGACATTGGCCCTCTACTCAGTACTTCCTCAACACACGAACACTTTGTTCTATTAATCTGGCATTCTATGATGCTCACCTTCCTGACACGATTATTAAAGACAAAATGTGTACATAAGCAAATGTGATCAAGAAAACTGATGGTGCCCAGCTATCAAAAGATATAGCATCTGGGGTCTTATCTTGACGATAAACAAGCAGCCATCTAGCAGAGAAGCAAGCCCACATGGAAGAAGCACACCAGCCTGTGTGATCATGAGGTGTCAATGGGATCAAGTATAAGACATCAAAGACTAAAAAAAAATTATATAGATGTTAATGAAGGGGAGGGCAGAGTGGAGACCTAAGTCCATCTGCAAACAATTGGACATCCCCTTACAGAAGGGTCACAAGGAAGAGCCAGTCAGGGTGCAGTACAGCACCTTTGAAACATACAACTTTCCTCTAGTTCTTTAATGCTTCCTCCTCCCCACTATCATGTCCCCAATTCTACCTTACAAATCTGACTAGCCCAGAGCATGTACACTGGTACAGATAAGAGTTCTTATCTAATCCAGGACAGATAAACCCCTCAGGGCCAATAATGAGAGTAGCAATACCAGGAGGGGAAGGGGAAGGTGGGGGGAGAAAGAGCGAACTGATTACAATGCTCTACATATTACCCCCTCCCAGGGGGACGGAAGACAGCGGTAGGTATAAGACATGAAAAAAAATTTATAAATTATCAAGAGTGCATGATGAGCTGATACCAAGGGCTCAAGTAGAAAATGTTTTGAGAATGATGATGGCAACATATGTACAAATGTGCTCGACACGATGCATGTATAGATGGATTGTGATAAAAGCTGTATGAGCCCCCTATAAAATGATTTAAGTTTTTTAAAAAGACAAATATAATCCTAAAAAAAAAAAGATCGTAGTCTACATCAGATTTATCTTTGTGCCCACATAGTAAGTACCTGATGCATTTAAAAATCTCAGAAGGGTTTCCTTTACTTAAACCCACGGAACATTTGAAAGCTAAATGAACAAGCAAAGCAGATGTATTGAGCAACAAACTGCATCTTAGATCATACTCTAAGGCTGTTTTTTAAATTCATATAAAGTTTATTTTGATGTTAACTAAAAAAAATTAATCACAAAATACTCGCCTTTCATCTGTTTGGTTTTCAATCTCATACGTTTCCCCGCCAAATGAAAAACAGTGAGTATGGTACGTTCCACTTCGATTTAGAAACTTTTTAAAAGAGTTCAAGAAGTGCTTTCCATAAAAGCCTCTTCCCACCTTGCCCATGACGAAGCGGCACAGCATGTCACGGCAGACCCACGTATTTATAATCTTCAAGAAATCGCAACCAGGAAAATCCAGATTACACAATCACTCTTTCACTTCCATTATTTCTGCAGACTTTAATGTAGCTTCCTCACTTAAAAACAAAAAAGCTTCAGGAACGCAAGCGCAGAACCTGACGCCCATTGCCATCCGGAAAAAAACCCATCTTATTCAAAGGGTGACGACTGAGAAAATCGCCTACTAGTGCAATCTTTCCCGTGCGAGCAACAGGCGATGAAGAGACCGCTTCTGAATCTGAGGATAGGGGTGAAGGCATCTTTCTCTACCTTCTTCCATCACCAGCCAGTCTCTAGCGTCATCCTCTTGTCAGTCCAGGAGATAAAGTAACAGAACCTTTCCAAGACAGGGATCAGCCCCCCATAACCCAAGGATCGACGTTAATCAGACATCAGAGCACCCCCCACCAACCCCGAGTCCCCCAAGGCCCCACCTGGACCAATGGACCAAAGCTTGGGACCCCTACCAACACAACTTCTCGCCCCATCTAGCCAGCGCTGAGACGTAGGCCAGGAAAATGTTTCCTCTGAAGTGAGAAGGCACCGACCTCCTTCCTCAGACCCCTCATTCCCTTCACTGCTCCCCCAGGACCCCTCTCTAACGACGAGGTGTTCTGCAATCTTTCAGCCCCCCAGAAGCACAATCACGCCACACACAAGATGGCAGCCAGACACCTACCGGAGGGAACAGCAGCGCCACCACTCCCGCTCGGCCGGCCTCTCGTCTGCGGGCACTCTCATTGGCCGAGCCAGAGACCGCGAGACAAACCGTGAACACGGGCTCGGCCGGCCTCACGTCTGCCGGCACTCTCATTGGCCGAGCCAGAGACCGCGAGACAAACCGTGAACACGGGTGTCCAATCGCGAGGGGGCGCCCTCGAGCCCCCGCGGCAGTATTGGCGCTGCGCGTGCGCAGCCTCTGAGGCGCGTAGCCAATGCAACCACTGAGCAAGCGCCGGGTCAGATGGCCGGGGGCTGTAGCATCCGACTTCTTCCACTGAGCCCGCGCCGGGTCGCTCTGGTTGTTTGAAATTTCGCTCTTCCTCCCTCCCTCGGCGGAGCTCGGGCGGCATTACTTCCGCCAGGGCGGTGGGCTCTCGGGCGTGCAGGCGAGGAGAGAAGCCTCTCTAGAGACGGAGCGTTTTTGCGCTCGCGGAACTGCCGAGGCGGACAGCGTGGAAAGCGCAGCGGAGCCGTGGTCGGTGCAGCGCGGCCCAGGTAGACGGAGGACAGGTGCACTGGCTACCCTTCGGCCGTAGGCGCGGGGACTGGAGCCAGCCCTGGAAGCCTCCCGTCTTTCCGCACCATGCGCTTCCGAGCTGGGGAAGGGGCCGCATGGGTGCTCTGAAGGCTCAGCCCCATTCCAGTCGGCCTCCCTCCCGGGGCTCCCCGAAAGGAGAGGTGATTCCTAAGGAGCCGGTGACTTGAGGCTGGAAAGGGGGCTCCGAGAAGTGGTTTGGGGTCTGCCCCCCCGAAGCAGAACTTGAAGGTTTAACCACTAACCCATTTCACAGGTAAGCCCTGAATAAGTGAGGTCACAGAAGGGAGGGAGGGGTCAGATCCTCAAGACCTCTGATTTCTAATCAATGGCTACTCAAGTACCCTGTAAGTAGTCGAAGGAAATGGAGAACCTGCACCTCGGCATGAAGACACTGTAGAGTAAGTATGCAAAATCCGTTTCTTGAAACCAGCCTGTTTGCTTCTGTGTTCACTCTGCGGCTTCCTTGTGGCTTTCTTTCATTTCCTCTTCAGCAAAACTACCGTAGCGTTATGCAAATGCAATAAGAACGTTACCTCCTTCGAAGCGGGCATGCCACATGGCTTATACTCCGTGTCATTATTATAATCATTGAAAAACGCAAGGAACCTAGGGAAAAGGAACATGGCTTCTTTAGCGCCTCAAAAGAACCGTCGCTTGACGTGAAGAAAACTTAACTTACTTTCCTTGTATGAGCTCCTAATAAAACGATTAAAAAAAGAAAAGAAGATGACGATGGCAACGTATGCACAAATGTGCTTGCTACAAATGACTTGTGGTTTGTTTTGAGCTGTAAGAGCCCCCAATAAAATGATTTATTAAAAAATAAATAAATTACTTTCTTTTCCAAATGGAAACCACTAGGAGAGGGAAAACTGAACAAAATGTAAAATCAATTTCAGTTGTAAATACCCGACGACCTCTCCGGATGATGAGGTTAGGAATGACTTATGTTTTCATCTTTGCACTGTAGTTGTAAGGATCCCATTCCTTAGAGGTAGTGCAAGTAAACAAGAATTATTGTCTTTGGTGTATTAAAAACAGGTGACTTCTGTGAACTTACTGACAGCAATTGTCCTGACAATATTTTTAGCTCCTTGAACACTCTCGGAAAGTGCATAATTTACTCATAATATCTTGTGGAAATTTGGGCTGTAACAAAGCTGAAACGAATGTGTATCACCCTTTGGTGGTTTGGCACTTTTTCTCTTCACATGTTTTTTTTCCTTTCTTTTTTTTTTAATCGTTTTATTAGGGGCTCATACAGCTCTTATCACAATCCGTACATACATCAATTGTATAAAGCCCATTTGTACATTCATTGCCCTCATCATTCTCAAAACATTTCCTCTCCACTTAAGCCCCCGGCATTAGGTCCTCATTTTCCCCCTCCCTCCCCGCTTTCCCCTCCCTCATGAGCCCTTGGTAACTTATAAATTATTATTTTGTCATATCTTGCCCTGTCTGACATCACCCTTCACCCACTTTTCTGTTGTCTGTCCCCCAGGGAAGAGGTCACATGTAGATCCTTGTAATCGGTTCTCCCTTTCCAACCCACCCTCCCTCTACACTCCCAGTATGGCCACTCACACCACTGGTCCTGCAGGGATCATCCGCCCTGGATTCCCTGTGTTTCCAGTTCCTATCTGTACCAGTGTACATCCTCTGGTCTAGCCAGACTTGCAAGGTTGAATTGGGATCATGATAGTGGGGGGTGGGGGTGGGGGGTGGGGGTGGGGTGGAAGCATTTAGGAACTTGAGAAAAGTTGTATTTTTCATCATTGCTATATCATACCCTGACTGGCTCGTCTTCTCCCCGATACTCTTTATATGTTATATGTGTTTACTGAAGCAACAAATGCAGGAGAACAAAAATGTAGTATTTCATCAAAAGTACAATAAGTTTTATGAAACAAATAAATAAATAGTACAAGCAGTGTTCTGTCTAGTTTTTGATACCTGTGGACAGAATGAACCGTTTCTGTTGCTCAGGTTAATGTTAAAAAAGAATAAGGATGTTAATTTGTGATTTTCCCATGGGGCAGCTAGGCAGCTGCCTACCTTAGAGAGAACCTTGATTATAAGCACCATGTTAACAACCAGTTCACCAAACTCAACAGAAAATTAGGTATCATCTGGTCTGCTGGACCAGTGTGAACTGACTGAATCCCATCACTGGTTTGATTTGGCATGCTGTTCTGGAAAGAGTGACAGTCTTGGAAACCCACGGGGGCAGTTCTGCTCTGTCCGATAGGGTCTCTGTGAGTCAGAATAATGGCATTGAGTTTGGTATTTTAATTTTTTATGCCATCCTTATGTTTGCGTTCATTGTTGCAGCCACTCTGTCCATCCATCTCATTGATGCCCCCCCCCTTTGTTAACATTTGTGTTTAATTCTTTTTAATATGTATTAATTTGTTAATTGGGAGTTGATACATATATCGTTCCATAGTTCAGTCACATCAAGCAATGTTGTACAATTGCTACGAAAATCAGTTTCCAAACCTACTTTTTCTTCCTGGACGTCTTGACAACATCTCCTTTTTTACCACCCCCACCGCTGTACCACCACTACCAACCCCCACTCCCAAGCCCTGATTCTTCATGCTGTCCCTTTAGGTTCATCAAGGTGGACCCTCTTTTTTTGCTGACCCTTTACCAAGCATACCGTTCTCCTAATTCGTGTTCAAAGTAAGTGACATGAAGTCTCATCTTCCTTGCATTTAGGGAGGGTTCTGGTTGCACTTCCCAGACTGACGGATTCCTTCTGGCAGTCCATTGTGCATCATTACGATTCAAATGCCCAAAGCAAATCTTCATCCATGGACATTGTGGCTGTGTTACGGTTATACTAATCTCATAATAGGTATAAATAGCTTCCCGCATGTTTTCTGCTCTGAAAGAGCTTGTGCATAATTAATAATACCTGTTCCCTGAAAGTTTTGTAGAACTCTCTATAAAGCTGTATGAACCTGACATACTGGCAGGGAAGGGTAGGGCAATGTGTAGCATCCACACTGGTAAGATTGTGAATATTTTAAGTTCATTTTATACTTACTGATACATTGGCATTTTTATTTCTTTAACATAATTGCTAGTTTATATTTTCATGGAATTTTTTTTTTAATTGTGTTAACACGTAGCCTTTTTTTTTAGTTTATATTTCAGTGCATTGATTCTGTTAACCATGTGTACCACCTTCACAACATTGTGAATTTCCAAAACACTCTTGCTACCCAAAGGAGAAACCCTTAAACCATTAAACAATAACTCATCAATCTCTACTCCCTCTTGCCCTGGCAACCTCTAATCTGCTCTATGAATTTACTTATTTTAGATACCTTATAGAAGTAGAATCAAACAATATTTTGTGCCTGACTAATTTTACTTAGTGTCGTGTTTTCGCAATCAGATTGAATAATACTGCACTGTAGGGACACACCACATTTTGCTTATCCGGGAATCTATTGGACATTTGGGTTGTTTCCACTTCTAGTTATTGTGAATAATGCAGTTGATGTTAACATTGTTTTCTACTGTATTTTGGTTGGTGACCATGGTCGGCATACTATTATCTTGGAATTTGCTGTTGGTGTTGTACACAATCGTTTTTATACATTTCTGTTTGTTCCCCTAATAAAGTACATTTTATTGGGTGCCAAGTGCTATACATTTGCTAGACGAAAGATGCTAATTTATCTTTCATTCAAATATTTTACATCGTGAGGTTTCTGTTGACTTTGTCAGTTTCTGAGACTTGGTTTCTCTCCCACCCCAAGAGAAAATTAGGGATTTGGGCATTTAAGTTTTTTCAGTTTTGCTTACAAACCAGAGTGATAGAGTTTATACATAGACATTTATAATTATTAGACCTTTGTGGTAAATTATTCTGTCAATATACAATATTTGTCTTGTTAATTTTGGAATTAAATTCTATTTTGTTTGATGTTAATGCTTCTGCATCAGCTTTCTTATCCTGGCTGATGTGGTACGTTTCTTTTCACACTCCTTCGTTTTCAGGCTTGCTGTAACGTTTGTTGAGATTAGGTGTTCCTTGTGGGGAAAAAGAATCCTGTGTAGGTTTTGTTTCTAATTCATCCTTAGACTCTCATTTAAGAGCAGCAAGGGTAATAACATTCACCTCTCTTGTGATTATTGACGTCTGTACTTGTCTGCTTCATCTGTTACTTCCTGTTTCTGTGCCTTCCTTTCCCCTTTTTAGGGAGCTTGTTTCTGTGCCTTCCTTTCCCCTTTTTAGGGAGCTTGTTTCTGTGCCTTCCTTTCCCCTTTTTAGGGAGCTTGTTTCTGTGCCTTCCTTTCCCCCTTTTTAGGGAGCTTTAGCCCCATTCTCTTGGTTCTAACAGTTTTCACCATTACTAGTGAGAGCGGTGAGTAAATGTTAGAATTCCGAGGGTTTTTTTCTGTGGAAGGTTATAAATCATTTGTCTTGGCCTGTGTATGCAGAACTTTACCTTGCTTGGCACACAGAGGGCACTTTGAATCTTAGGGCTTAATGTGATTTCCAGTTCTAGGAAATTCTTGAACCTGACTCTGTTTTCTCTATGATTGTGTTGCGTATGTGTTCTGTGCCCCAGGTAAATTCCTTGGCTCAGTCTTTCATCTTGCTAATGGAGTCTTCAGTCGAGTCCATTATATTCAGAACTCTGTTATTCTATTAAATTTATTTTAGCAAATTTAAATATAAAATATTGAATTAGTTTTCTTTTTTTCAACGTATGATGTTTCCTTTTTTTTTTTTTTTTTTGGAGCTGAGTTACGTGAAACCGCTGGAGGCGCGACGTTTCCTTATACTCTGGAGATATCTGGCTTAATTATTTAGTGGTCGTATGACAAATACCCCAAGTGAATGCCTTAAGGAACCTGCTTTATCCTCGCCCAGTTTAGGAGGCTTACAGTCTGAATCCACAGCACCAGCTCTCGGGAAGACGCCCTTCCTGTCCGCCGGGGACAAGTTCAGGTGTCAGTTCCACAGCTATGAGCCTGGCATTATTTGGAGATCTCCATGGACTGGCATCGGGCTTCCCCTGGGTCGAGGATGGTCTCAGTACAGGGAACCCTCGTGTTAAAAGAGGAGCTCTGCTCCCAGCTCTTTGTTCTCAATAGTAGGTTCTCTCTCCTTTTAGCTCTTATAAAATAAAAGGTAATGCAAGCCAGACCTCCTGGAACCTCCCCCGCCCCATATCAATCCAATCAAGGCTGGGACCTGAGGGAGTTTATTGCATCCCACCCTAATCCCCTTACAAGTCTTCACATCATGGGGGTGGGGAAGGGGCATGATTACCTCAATATCTAACTGCCACACTTTTTTAGAATGACCCAGCCTAGTTGACATGTGTTTGCGGAGGGAGGCACAATTCAATGTTTTGTGGGCTTATTAAGTTGCTTTCCATATACAGTCTCCCTGAGATGTTTGATACTCAGTTGTGCACATAGCTTCTCTGGGAGGGTGGAGCCTGCTTGTCCCGGTTATGTAATGATGGTGATTGGCAGTGGCAGCTTACCTCTGCAGCTCCCCACCTGTTTCCTTTCCCCAGCGAAGCCTAACAGACTGGGCCCAGAGAGAGTTCCCATTTTGTTGATTATCGTTATGTTCTTTAATTTTTAAAACTTCTGACATTTAGATGAGTGTGTTAGGGGAGTGGGACAATAGATCACCATATGCCTGGCTTAACTAGAAAATGAAAATTGTTGATAAATTTTGACCTATTCTATTTCTAGCTGTATAGCCTAAGGAAATAATGAGATATGAATAAAACATATCCCTGTTATGATGCTAAAAAGTTAGAAATAATACAAATGTCCAATGTAGAGGATTGTCATACTGGTAACAATTTGTTACATTATTAAAATTATGTAGCATAAATTTCTTTTTACTATTGGCCACATTGTGTAAAAATTTGGTGTGCTATTAATGACAAGGGGGAAGTGCAAGATATTTTATTCAATGAGAGGTTATAAAATATTGTGCACTTGAGATCCAAATTTTAGGTTAAAACTAAGTAAGGAAAAATGATAAATTCAATGGTTACTATGTACCAAGCACTATTTAAGTGCTCATAACAACCCTATGAAGTAGTGAATATTTATATTTTAAAGGTTTTAACAGTATTTGTTAAGTGGAGTATCCTAATTATTAATTTAAAATGTAAGGTCAATGCTAAATAACAAATATTTCATATTGGTGATAGGATTATGGGATGAATCTTTTAAAAAAATAATTTTCCAAATTTTGATATTTTCCCCAACTAATAATTATTCTCTTTTAAAATAGATCATGTTTTTATTTATTTATTTTTTTTCTTTCCTTCTTTTTTTTTTTTTTTAATTTTATTTTTTAAACATTTTATTAGGGGCTCATACAACTGTTATCCCAATCCATACACACATCAATTGTGTAAAGCGTATTTGTACATCATTTCTCAGATCATGTTTTTAAAAGATAGATATGATATCTTTTATTCTTATTTTACTCTTTACAAATATAAACTATTCTTTGTTATCTTCATTGCAGAATATTTTACATATTCGTGGAGCAAAAGATGGGAGTTGTTTTTCTTTTATAAAAGATAATATCATTGATCTGATGCAGCTCTAAATATTCACTTGCTGAAGATGCATGAACTTGGCATTGGACTATGGATCATTTCTGAAAATTTCTGCGACTACAGTTTCTATTTGAAAATTCAAGTTTCAAAGGTGTTCTGTTTTAGCATTGTGTAATGATGCATTTTGTCCAAGAACTACAAATTTTATAGAGACCACCTTTGGATCCCAGTTATATTCTTCAATCAAAGTGATTCATGTCAGTCATCCTTGGATTAAGTTAATTTTGAAGTTTTATAAAGGACGCTAAAAGATGGGAGAAAAAAATGGTAGGTTGAAAATGCATTGTTAAACTTTATATTTAAAAGTCTGTAGATACTTTAATGTGACCAAATTTTGGAATTTTCTAAGTTTGTCATTGTGTTAGTCTGGGATGACTAGAGAAACAAATCCAGGGAGACTCGTGTGATAAAGAAAGAGCTTTATATCAAAGAGTAATTTAATTGTATATTAAGAAAACATGTCAGCCCAGTCCAGATCAAGTCCGAAAGGCCGATATTGGCCCATATGTTCAATACTAGTCTATAAATTCCTCTTCAGACTCATGCAGCACATGCAATGACGCCGAATGCAGGAAGATATCACAGGCCAGTAGGTGGAGAGTCTTGTGGATCCATTGCTGGTGGAAGCACCTCAGCGTTGGCCTGGCTTCTCCAGCTCTAGGACTTTGGCTCCATCAGTATAGCTCCATATGCCTTCTCAGCAGGAAGACAAAGGAGAGTGTGGGCCTGGCCTCCAGTGAGCTATTTATCTCTATAGCGCCTCCAGATGAGGGCATCAGACTGTGACCTGGTAGACTAAACTCCACCCCGTCACTTTTAATAGTCTCAAGTTGACCCCAGATTATGTAATTACCACAATCATCAAAAATTACTTTTCTAAATTAGAATGAAAGGTTTCGTCTCTGTAACTACCAGTTTTTACTATCTTTGTAATGAGTTTTTTGTCAGTAACCCTAAGTACTTTTTTTTTTTACCCTAAGTAATATACTGCTTTTAAAAGTAGGCTTCGGGAGCGGGGAGGGAGGGGAAAAATGAGGACCTAATGTCGGGGGTTTAAGTGGAGAGAGAATGTTTTGAGAAACGATGTACAAATGCGCTTTACACAATTGATGTGTGTATGGATTGGGATAACAGTTGTATCAGCCCCTAATAAAATGTTAAA